GGGGGGGGAGGTGGAATAAAGCTTTGTATCCAGCTTTAAAACTTTGCTAAAAAATACTGCTTTCATAGGATACTTAAGTATAAGAAATATAAAATGCAGTGAAATTGATTCGTGTGTTTGGAGGGAATGAGATATCTGTTGTGTTGTTAAAGATTTCTTTAATATTTCCATCAGACAACTGAGGGATGAAGTGTGGAAGTACCTAACCAAAAGAGCGACTGTCCGTGAGAAGATGAAGACTTCATAAAGTCTAGTCTTAACATTATCCGACTATTTTGCCAATTTGATATTTGGACATTTATTGGTGTTGATAATGTACCCTCTGGCCTTGACACCATACTTAGACATTTTGACAGATAGATGACACCAGACATGTGTCTGACAAAATGTCTACGTGTGGTGTCAGGGCCAGAGGAATCTCAGGTTGGTGATAATGGTGATACATGTACTGTACAGTACAGAATATCACTTTTTGATGGCATAATTGATTTTAGTTTCTGAGAGTCTCCAGTTCTATAATCCATAATTCACAGCTTTGTGTTAGATACAGACATTGGCGAATGGAGTGCACTGATATAAACATCGCTTAAAAGTAAAATATAACGTTCAAAACAAGAATATTGCACAGAATATCATTTTGACAGCCGAAATATTAGCAGACGAAAACACCCCTGTCAACACAAAAAGTATGTACTGAGAAAAACTATGCCAGAATATCAATCGTCATTGCCCATGTTCACTGTGATATATTCCAGAAAATCAGTATGCTGAAAATTAAAATTAATCTAAGAAAGGATAGAAGTGAAAACACCTACCTTTCAATGCTAGCAGGTGCTCTTTCTCTCTTGTGCCTTCCATGATGTATAATCAGTCCGCATAAAATAGGACTTCCGGTTTTATGAAATTAAGAATGAAATTTAGAATAGCAAAAATAATTATTTCAACATATTGATGTATCTGTTGGTAATATAAGAAAAGGTGATATAAACTGAAGAAAGTTTAGTGTTTTTTTTTAAATACCTAGAGATTTCGAACCAGAAATTATCTGCTGCTGAAGATGTAAATGTTGATGTGATGGCTTCCGGTGGACTGCAGTCTGTCACTTTCTCCAGCACATCGCCAACCTTACAATACAACGATGAAACGGACAATGTTCGTATAATGCACTTATGATGTATTTGGGAAAAAAATAGTCTACTGTCTATGATCGTAAAATAGTTGAAATCAGTTTACAAATGTCTTAGAACACAACGACGTTTCCGTAATTCCTGTAGGAACTCAACTGTATCTAAATCAGAGATTTCGTTATAAATCTCTGATTTAGATAGAGTTCCTACAGGAATTAACGTTTCCGTTGTGTCTCACTGACTATGGTCAATATTTTCATGTCAACTTGAAGTTGCGATTCAATAACCATATCCTGAATTACATGGAATAATATGCTTACTTAAGGCAAGCTTATTCTCACAGAAGTCTGTTTTGAAGTCAACACGACAAGAACTGTTTAGTAGAATGGGAACATATCGGTATCTGAAAAAAAACACTGGCAGCTAAAAATATTGATCAATTATGGCGGTCACCCTAATGAGTGTCAAGGGAGGTTTTTTCGCTCGCCCCGAATTCGGTTTTTTTTTAATTTTTTTTCTTCTGATTCGTTAAAGTATGCAGTGACCTAGGTGTGTGCAAAATTTCAGGTCGATCATAGTTGTAGAAGGTACCGAAATATGTCGATAAATAATATGTTTACGGGGGAGGAATGAGTGTCCAGGGTGGTTTTCTGCTCATAATAAATGATTTTCCATCGTAACGTTGATGGTGAGTGAATCAGTCAATATTTATCGACGTATAATAACTCATAATGTACTCGGTCCAATCGTATATATATAATAATAACCTTAAATATGTTTCCAATGGTCATGATGATCGTTAGTGTAACATGCAGCAATAAACATTTAATTACACAAAGTTCTATGTTTTATGTATATATTTCAAGAAGAATAAAAAGTTGTACAGATTTTGACAAATTTGGGCAGAGCCCAGTGTAAGGGTTAATGCTATGGAAGGGAACAAACTCGTACGGAGGTATACCTGTAAAACTCTTAGTCTTTATCGAAGGCAAACTTTTATCGACTTATTTCGGTACTTTGCACTGTTATGATCGACCTGAAATTTTGCACATAGCTAGGTAAATAAATATGATCTATATAACAGAAGAAAAAACCCAATAACGAATTCCTGGGCGCATGAAAACCTACCTGTACACTCCCTGGACACTCGTACCTCCCTCGTAAGCGTAATATAATTTATTTATCGACGTATTTCAATACTTTGCCCTATGATCAAACTGAAATTTTGCGCACAGCAAGATATGTGAATATAAATCAAGAATAAGTAGAAAAAAAAAGAAAAAAAATGATAATCGAATTCCTGGGCGCGCGGAAATCTCCCTGGACACTCATTCCTTCCAAATAGGCATCTTTATCGACATATTTCGGTACTTTCTACTAATACGATCGACATTAAATTTTGCATACAGCTAGGTAAGTGTATCGAATGTATAAATCAGAAGAAAAAAGTGAAAAAAAATTAACAAATTCCTGGGGGCGCAAAAACCTCCCTGGACACTCCCTGGACACTCATTAGCTATAGGGTCACCCCAATTATGGCGCTGTTGGAGGAAATTTGTTGTTTTATGGTCATGAAAAGTGATGTTGACATCAGCAACACATATATGTGCCGTTGTGCCCAGCCTGTTTTTAAAATTGTTGTAAAACCCAGGTTTAAATACGAGGGGGGATTATTGCCATATTGGCAAGCTAGCTTATTTAATAATGGGTTATAACCCACAGACATGCTCACTAGTTCAGCAACGACGAGCATGGTCACTGGCTAGATTCGTGCTTTTCTGCATGTTACATTTGGTTGCAGTGTAGTGACCCTGTGTTATGTAAGGCCATTTTGTGGTGGTTACAAAAGGTGTATAGGGGACAAACTCACTAGTTGTTTGGCTAATTCCCTGGGGTTAGGGAAGGTGCATTGGCACACGGGGAGGACCCAATTACCCAGACCAAGGAAAATTCTAGTTGTTTCAGTACCGAACAGTTGGGATATTTTGACACTCTTCTTTATAAAGATAGATAATGCTGAAAAATCTGAAGACACAAAATGACCAACCCACAGGATGGATCATGCAAACTATGCAAACCACAGCATTGTGGTACCAAGGCGACAGTACCGAATTGTCTGTACCCAACCAGGTGTCGGGTAACAGCAAAGAGTACCGAATTGTCTGTACCCAACCAGGTGTCTGGTAACAGCAGAGAGTACCGATTTGTCTGCACCCAACCAAGTGTCGGGTAACAGCAAAGAGTACCAAATTGTCTGTACCCAACCAGGTGTCGGGTAACAGCAGAGAGTACCGAATTGTCTGTACCCAACCAGGTGTCGGGTAACAGCAAAGGAATGTGACAGGGGAAATACTGCCTTACTGGCAAACTAGCTGTTCCACTGATGTGATGTAGGATGTGCTTACTACAGTTCAGTGTAGTTCAGCAACATCAGTGGCCGGATGGGTGCCCACCCGAATGTTACATTTGGTTGCAGTGTAGTGACACTGTGGTATCATGTAAGGCCAGTTTGTGGTGGTTATGGAAGGTGCATTGGGGACGAACCACTAGTTAAGCAATGTCGAGCAATATTAGTGGCTGGATTGGTGCCCAGTCACCAATTCATTGGCATGCAGTAAAACACTATTAAGTTAGTAAAACTCATCACTTTTTTTTCCACCAATTGAGGTTAGATTAATATGTTGTTTGAGGAATGACATGGTATTTGCTGAATTGAGGTAAGCTTGATATGGTTGGACAGCAGAACAGCTTGAGCTCTGCTAATGTCATAGAATTAAATAATAGAAAAGATATAAAAGAAGCTATATATGAGATCACTTCAATGTTTAACATTGTCATGAAAATAATTTATGTGCACAAAAAATAATACCTAAACTAAGAAAAAGGTAGCATGCACCCCCCCCCCCCCCCCCCCCCAGCATGCCCCCCCAAAAAAAATCATAAAGTAAATTTGGCCATATCATCCAATATTCAATAATAAATCCGTTATCATTATTTGTATGCAAAGGGTCAGCTGCATGTACATATTATAACTACAGAATCATGAATTGTTGGACCAATCAAAAGTCACTTACGTTGGCATGGTACTTCATTTAGTCAACACACTTTTTATCTCATATGAGCCAAATTGGTTATGCAGCAGACAAATATTCAACTCATTTTTTTTATTGTTTTAATTATCAGAAAAGTGTGGTTAAAATTTGAGCACATATAATTAAAGGATTATGTATTATAGTGGCCTTGTATTTAGATTATCAGCAAGCCACTGAACTCTGTTGATATGACCTACCGGTTGGTTATGAAATTGAAACTGAAAAAAAGGTTGATTTTGCATTAGGAGAATACATTTTTTTTCTGCATTTTCAGACTATCTTAGAATGTAGAGTGTGTGATGAAGTGTTCCGTTTCCAAGGTGACAAGGTGCCACGTCTACTGGTATGTGGCCACACTGTGTGCCATCAATGTCTGACACGACTTCCTGTCCATGGCTACAACATCCTGTGTCCATTTGATCGGCAGCCAACTGAGATCGGGGACTCAGGAGTATGGGGACTGAAGAAAAACTTTGCGCTACTAGAATTGTTAGAAAAACTGCAACAGTCCAAGCAAATTCCTCTAAGTAGAAATTTGTTCACAGAGGAATGTATAGCCAGGGAAAAGCAGGTAAAATAAAACTTCAATTAAGTGACTCTTCAATCGATCATTAGGAGTTTTTCAGGGTATTTTAATTTTTGTGAATTTCTGTTTTCATTGTGTTGAGAAAAATGTGACAATTTATCCATGTGTCTAAATTTTTGTTTTTGTTTTTTCACATTTTGTTCTTTATTTTATTTTTTATTTATTTATTTATTTATCACCACGTGGTGAAAATACCAATTGTTTTGTTTCTTATTCTTCTTATTCTTATTCTTCTGCCATATTTGTGGGCGTCTTTATATCCTGAGCGGTAGCAGATATGATGAGTCTATATTTTACAATATAGGACATGGTATGAAGGTGTTATTGCAAAATTTTCAAATAGGTCAAAAACAGCTATAACTCGAAAATCATTGATTGTACAGAATTGATGCAATTATATTATTTGTAGATAATTTTCATATCAAACTTCTTAGCATTTCATGTTAATACAAAAAAAATGTCCAATAAAGAAGCTCGCAGTAGGGTCAAATCAATTTTTTGGAAAAAATCTTTTACAGATCTAGCATCGCGAAGAATATGATGTCTTTAGTTTTTCTGTAACATTTACCGTTAACATTGTATGCCATTTTGAATATTTCCTTTGATCTTTTAAAAATGCTGACAATTTGATAAAACTTGTTTTACTCCAATATCAATGACAAATATTTTGTTTAGTTGTAATGGAAAAGGTTTCCCCAGATGTCCTCTAACATTTGATCACATTTTCAACTTCATCAAAAAAAAAATGTCTGTCATGACGTCATATTCATTTTTTTCTCTGATTGCAATACCTCATTAACAGGTGAATGTATTTATTCATCTTTTGATATGTTTTGCAGAATAACAAATAAATAACTTTCAACTTGAATCATTTTTGAGTAAAATGTCAACTTCAGGTTTTCGACAGGGTCAAAGTTGAATATATCTGAATTTGAGAATTGTCTTTAAATTTTCACATTTTAAACTTCTTTTCAAGTTCCACCCGTGGGATTCAGCTCAAATTTGCCTGAAATGATCCTGAGATAGTACTGACCAGGTGTTGTTATTTTTCGGTCGGTCTGAATTCCAGGATGGCCGCCATCTTGAAAAACACATTTTAAACTTCTTCTCCAGTTCCGCTGGTGCCATTGAGCTAAAAATTGGTGTGGATGTTAAGGAAAGAAAGCTGACCAGGTGTTATTTTTCGGTCAAGTCAAAGCTATAACATGGCTGCCATTGCAGCCATTTTGTAACATACCATACGCATGCAAGTAATGAGGCAAGAGAAATAACTGTTACTTAATCTGACCTTACTCATGCAAGTAGTACGTACAGCAAGAAAGATAATTCTTACCTAATCTTGTACATCATATTACACTTTTACGAGTTATCTCTCTTGCCCCACCACTTGCAAATTTGGCCAATGAAGTGAAAAACCTGCCAAATTGTCGATGACAATTTCTAGTTATTAACTTATTATTGTCTATTTGTTCCTATAGAAAATTACTGGTAAATGAAAGTTGAATCATATAAGAAAAAAAACAATTATCCAATGTCTTAATCTCTATGGCAAAGGTAGAGAATTTCAGCTCCAAATATACACAAAGAAAAAAGTTTGAACACATTTCATTTTAGAGTTGATCATTCTTCCACCCTCTTTTATAAATATTTTCCATAAAGATTTAAGAAAATGAAAACACTGTCATGAATATAGTATTTATTTAAACAATTGTAAGTATGTTAGGTTACGTATAGTGGTATTTTTTTTGTTTTAGAGAAAAACCTGAATTTCTAAAAGCTATATCAACCCCTGTCCTAAATATGGTTCATCAGTTCCTTTGAAATTTTCCTGACCTTCAAAAATGTTTTCTGTATCAAACATGAAGTACAAATGACAAGATGTAGATCTCTATTCTAGTGAAACTGATAAGATTGTCTTGTATTATCTAATTGTTTGTTGTCAGCATGATATTGGATGTGACGAGGATGAATCCCACAGGGCGATCCTTTACTGTACAGTATGCAGTACACATCTGTGTATAGAGTGCTCTCTGCGCACACATTCCACACGTACTCTTGCCCGCCACAAACGTGTTCCCATCTCGGAGAAACCTAAAGAGAACCCTAAATGTGTGTACCACCCCATGCATCTGGTGGAGTTTGCCTGTATGGAGGATGAGTGTAGAAACAGTCCACTGATGTGTTACATTTGTAAAGATTACGGACGCCATGTCAAACATAGAGTAAGTATCGAGGTGTGCTTTTATATGAGGTCTTAAACCAACGTTACCATCAATCATATAAAAAAAACTAAGGAACATTCAATGCTTACTATACAAAGTATACATTTGACACATGCTTTCAGTAATGAAGCAGTTATATTGATCATGAAATTTGTAGATGATTATCAGAAAGGGCAAATCAATTTATTATAATTATATAACATTCATTTGTCCCTCACTAAATACAGGATTGAGGAAACTGTGTAATTTCTTATCAATAAATGTTCTTTCAGCATGCATTACTGGAGACAGAAGCTGAAAATGTGCGTTCATCAATTTCCAATGCTGTCCAACAAACACGGCTGTTTGGGGAGGAGGTCGCAGACACTGTGAGGAAACTGCAGACATGTATACAACATGTGGAAGGGGACACGCAGCACATGGTGTCTGGGGAGGGATCCAACGTGTCACACAGGGTATGACTCACTAAATGTGTAGGGGGAAAGTTGATGGAGGGATGCTTACTGAGGTCAGTGGGGTATAAATAATAGCAATCCTCATACTGTAAAGTTTCAATAATGTACCTGGTATTCTCAATGACATTTACATTTATTTTGTTCATTCTGATTTTCTCATCCACCGTTTTGAAATTGTTTCCACAAATTTGTTTATCATATTTTTTCTCTATTGAAATAATGTAATCATAAGCCCAGGGGCATACAATTTCATATTTAGAGTACCAGTACTAGCCCTTTTTGAAAAATTCTACTAGCCGGTCTATATTTTCATAGGGCGAGTTTGATCATCAACTATAGCGGCTGTGGTCGAACTAGAGTACGATAGAACTCACTTTAGTAATGTCTACTTGTCCCAGGCAACAGGCTAATACACTTGTACACCCCAGAAACCGAGGTTCAAAACTGAAAGTTAATTATATGCTAAGTAAGATGTTTATTCCTACTTAAGGCACCAGGTACTGCTGACTTATCCCGAACCAAGATAAAGCAATACTTTAGTGAACTCCGCAACAACCTAAACCGCCAGGAGGTCGCAGCACTAACCACAGTTGACACTCACATTCGAGAGAAATTGTGTATGCTGCGGCAACAACAGGAGGATATGGCAGTATTATTGTCACAAATATCGGCTGTGTGCCACCAGTGTGAAGCCACACTACAACAGGTCAGTTATCATTATGAGGTTGTTTCCCTTGCTATGTTATTATTTTGTGTGAATTTTTTTAAATGTTTTGTAGTACATTCCATCAAAACAATTGAATACAAACCTGCAAAACATTTTTGTTTTAAAGTTATAATATGAGAAAGTTTTGAGATGATTAAAATAGAATGTATATGAGTATAAAGTAATTTGGTTTCAGAATAAAAATTGCCAGAAATTATTTCTAGTGATTTTTTATGTCTGAAGAACTGATATTCCACACTTCATCTTAACTTATGATAAATTTATTAACACAATCATCTTTGCTGTTTTATAGAAGGTCATTAAATCTTTCCTTACAAAGAAAACCTCATTTTTAACTCTAGATAAGACCTTGTTCTGTAGGTTAAATAGACAACACAGAATAATCACCAATTAGCTACAATAGTATATTTAACCTACAATAATTGATGATATTGACGTTTGGTTACAGGATGACACTAGAGTAATAGTGGCTAAGTCTGAGGTGAAGACGTTACTTGATACGATACAGAAACAACAACAGCAGTTCTCAGAAGTGCCGGACCAGCTGCCCCTCGATCCCACCATTCCTCTCACATTCACCAAGGTAACCAAAAACGTCACTCCGACTTCTGTGAAGTGATTATCCATCATCTGCTCAATGTCCATCTGTAGACAATATTTTGATGCTATTTCTCAGAAATAGATTAAGGGATCAATATGAAACGTGGCAACTGTCAGGTATGAATCGGAAAGATAAGCCTATCAAAGATAAAAAGTTGTACATGTATACAAGTTTCCCTTCTTAAATACAGTGTATAGTCAAATCTATATATGAAACCACCTAAAGGAAGGCTCAAAATTAATCTCTTTGCAGAGAAAGCCTCTAATGTGAGAGGAATATAACATAGTGAACTGGTTTTGCGTGATGAGAAAAGTGTGGTCTCTTCATATTACAAAAAATAAGGGAGGATGGCTTAATGAGATGGTCTTTTAAGTAAATTCAATTATTGGAGCATGACTTTGGAATAGACCTTCCAGGTAAAATCGTAGGAGTCGGATCAGTAATTTATACGGTGCCTGTATGTTTAGAGATGTATCGCATAAATAATCTTTGTTTCAACCCCAGGATAATCGAGTACATATCGGTCCCAAAATTGAAATGCGGGTTGTCATACTAGGCCTCGATGGAGCGGGAAAGACCAGTTTACTGTTTAAACTGAAGCAAAATGAGTTTATTCAAACCATTCCCACTATTGGTAAGTATGTTCAATAAGAATCAGTTTGGACATTACCTTTTCTCTCACAAACATCTTTAAAGTATTTTTGACATTAGGAAATTTGATTGTTTCAACAAACTCATTGCGTTGGAGGTAGAGGTTTTGATAATAACAACCATATTTATTCAACGGTAGAGGATTTTAACACTATGCACTCAATCTAAACCGTACATGTTTGCAAAGGGTTCCAAATCATGGAATCTTCTCTTTACATGTCGTTATTATCAGAGACCAATTCTTTGGCTGATTTACACAAAAGTCTGGATAGGACAACCTTATTGATTTTATGTTTTGGAGGATTTTGATGATTCCAAGAGCCATGTTAATTTGTTAGAGGGTTTTTGTAGTTCAGACTACCTCATCACTTTGGCAGCAGAGGATTTTGATAGTTCCAACAACCTTTAAGTGCTATTAATTTTACAGGTTTTAATGTGGAGACTGTTGAATACAAGAATGTCAAATTTACTATCTGGGATGTCGGTGGACAACACAAGATCAGACCTCTGTGGAGACACTACTACTTCAACACCCAAGGTAAGTGGTACCTGTCACAACACCCAAGGTAAGTGGTACCTGTCACAACCCCCAAGGTACAGTAAGTGGTACCTGTCACAACACCAAAGGTTCAGTAAGTGGTACCTGTCACAACACCCAATGTAAATGGTATCTGTCCCAACACCCAAGGTAAGTGGTACCTGTCACACCACCCAAGGTAAGTGGTACCTGTCATAACACCTAAGGTAAGGGGTACCTGTCACAACACCCAAGGTTCAGTAAGTGGTACCTGTCACAACACCCAATGTAAATGGTATCTGTCACAACACCCAAGGTAAGTGGTACCTGTCACAACACCCAAGGTAAGTGGTACCTGTCATAACACCTAAGGTAAGTGGTACCTGTCACAACACCCAAGGTACAGTAAGTGGTACCTGTCACAACACCCAAGGTAATTGGTACCTGTCACAACACCCAAGGTAAGTGGTCCCTGTCACAACACCCAAGGTACAGTAAGTGGTCCCTGTCTAAACACCCAAGGTACAGTAAGTGGTACCTGTCACAACTCCCAAGGTACAGTAAGTGGTACCTGTCACAACTCCCAAGGTACAGTAAGTGGTACCTGTCACAACTCCCAAGGTACGGTAATTGGTACCTGTCACAACACCCAAGGTACAGGAAGTGGTACCTGTCACAACACCCAAGGTACGGTAAGTGGTACCTGTCACAACACCCAAGGTAAGTGGTACCTGTCTCAATACCCAAGGTAAGTGGTACCTGTCTCAATACCCATGGTAAGTGGTACCTGTCGCAGTATCCAACCAGCGAACAGGAACAGGAACAGTTTAACATCTTCTATACAAATCTATACAAAAGTGTCCCTGTTACTTGGCAGTTAAGATGGTTGGTTTCCTGAGAGTTCACTGTACATCAATGTTTCACACTGCTAGTCATTACTAAGGTAAATCTTACATAGAAGGAATCTATCATATATAGGAGGAAGTTCTAAGTTTGTTCCCCTCTGTCTGAGGTAGCTGTCCATGTTTTATCACCATATCCCTCCTATATAGAATTTGACAGATCAAAATTTGGGGTACATGTTGTTTGAAAGAAAACTGCACACATTTCTTTCCAAGTATCTGAGAGCAATGTTTCAGACATGAATATTTGAATAAAATGTGAATTAAAGAAACCAGGGGAGAATATTCATATTTAGATTCTATTGTATTCATTTATGATTTGTATTGTTACTTCAGCTGTGATATTTGTGGTGGATGGGAGCAACAAGATGAGACTATCGGAGTCCTATAATGAGTTGGCCAAGCTGGTACAGGAAAAGGAACTGAGGGAAGCCTCACTATTGATCCTCGCTAATAGACAGGTAAACCAATCAGCGTAACATGTGGATTAGACTGGCCACCGTCTCTTGAATATTGAATTATTAAGAAAATGGTTAGCTAATTTTTTTTGATCACTTGGATGTCTGACTCTAGATTCTAAACTAGGGGAAGATAAGCTAGTAGTAAAATGCAGTTGAGAAATTCTTCATAAAAACTTAGGGGATGGTAGCCAGTCTACATGTGTATGTATCCACTCATCATCAGGGTTACACATGTGCCCACCAATCATCGTAACATTTGTATGTATCCACTCATTATCAGGGTTCCACATGTGCCCACCAATCAGCGTAACATGTGTATGCATCCACTCATTATCAGGGTTACACATGTGCCCACCAATCATCGTAACATTTGTATGTATCCACTCATTATCAGGGTTACACATGTGTCAACCAATCAATGTGTTCAAAATGAATACTTATTTTGTATTTTTTCATGTACTGCTCAAATTGTAAATAAGTGTTTAATAATGTATGCAGATTATTACAGTATTATATATTTTCCTAACTTTCTATAAAATGCTTGCACTATTTTTTCCCACTCACTCACTCATAACAGACAGCTAACATGATGTATGGGATAACCTGTCTGCTAGCTTCCTGTCTGAGTGGGGATTATTTAACTGGACATTTGACATTAAAATAAAAGAAGGTGGTGTTTTAGATATATTTAAGAGGCCCACTACATTTGTTATAAAGTAATATCTTAGCGTTCTTTCTTTGTATGTTCCATGTTATTATTCCTACATTTTATGTCTTGTTTATGTGACACAGGATATACAGCCCAGTGCGACCATTGAGGAGATCACCGAGACATTTAGCCTCTTCAAACTCTGCTGTAACCGAAGTTGGCACATCCAGGCCTGTGATGCTAAGACCGGCGACGGACTTCATGATGGCCTAGAGTGGCTATCACGGCAAATGGTCGCTGCTGGCGCTCCAGAACTTGTATAGTACAGTTAAAACTGTATTCAGTGATCATCCATCTTCCATAAAGTGGTTTCTTATTGCAGGGGGTCTCTTTATACAGGTTCAGTTATCATGAAAATAACTGCAATCAGGAGATTCAAATGTGGTCTGTTAAAACAGGTGATCTCTTAAAAGAGATGTTTCCTCAAGCAGATTTGACTACATCACTACATATTGAAACAATGAGATTAGCCAGCACAGATTATGCTCTACAGGTCTTGTGTACAAAATATGCGAGTTGGTTTCCAGAGAGTTGCATAACAACTTGATGAGCTCTCACTCCAAAGTATTTTGATTCACAAGATTTATCTATGAGACAATGAAACAGCCATCACTACTAGCAATACAGATCTGGGCTCAGTATCACAAAACTTCCTAACTCTAAGGACATTCTTTTTATAAATATTTGCAAGTTACACATTCCTCTCAAATGTTCTAAGAGTTCTATTTACTGATATTTATCAGCTGTTTCAAGTCAAAAGTGATTTAAATGATTTAACATAAATTCATTTACATTTACTATTTCTATTGATGTGTTAAGAACAATAATGCTTGAATTAAATCACATTTTGAGATTTCAGAAAAAAGTAGATTTGTGAAATCTGAGGCACGGATAATTTTCATGAAATTGCTTCAATCAATGTAGACCACTAGCTCACACAAATCTAATGTGTAGCGCAACTGCGAAAAGCTAACTGTTGTATTTATTTCATGCTTCAAGAAACTTATTTTCTTGAGTTATTTATTTGATGAATGTATTCAGTGCTAATAGTCTTTCTCAGAATCTTTCATAAGCGCAATTCTTAAAATTGCGTATTTTCCATTGCATTTAAAGGAAAAGAATCTTGAAATTTTGAAGGAAACATAACAAAAGGATCTGATATCACGTTTAAAAAAATAAGGAAAATATTTTATATATAGGATGATTTATTGATCAGATTAAAATTTAGACTGAATTACAAATCTGGCATGGATCAGGGGAAGGAAGTAGTACGAATTAAAGAATAGATCTTTCAATCCATGTGCGAAATGTTTGTGAAAATGACTATTTTTTTCTAAAATATCAGTTTGAAGTGCGCTCCGGGCGCGGGTCGCATATTTCCCGCATATTATAGAGGGCCGGAGTTCTGACGTTAATCGACGACAGACCGATATAAAAAAGTTGATAAAACGTCAGAATGATTCGGATTAGGGAAGGAAGTAGGCCTATCAAACATGAACATATATGCCAATATTCAGCTGTATACACTAACACATGTGGAGAAAAAAAATCCTGAAGCATAAAATTGTCTATTATTCAAGTTTCAATGCATATATGGTTATTGGGCCATGTTATGAATAAGTTGGTTATCAAAAATGCAATATTATAAGACTCTTTCATGCCCAGCGGTGTAGGATAAGGACATTCCACCCAAGTTTTTTTCAAGTTTGGTAAAACCCGAGCCTTTGCCGAGGATTTTGCCAAATTTGAAAATCCTGAGGATGGAATGTCCCTAATAACATGTATTAAACAGTTCTTTGTGGTAGATTTCAATAACTATCTTCAGATCATGTTCATTTCAGGATTTATTTAGAAACTTCCAACTGCTCAATTTTAGTACATGTGCTACAAAATAGTACAGAACCATTGCACCACCTTCAGATATAGTGTAAAAGTTCTTTGTCCTAGGCTCAGTAATAGCTGAAACAAGGATGTAAAGCCCCATTAATCTTACAGAAGTGTGGTAGAATGACCATACTGAAAATATTGTTTTTTCTCCTTACAGGACCCAATTGTAGCCATTTTCATTTCAAAGTGTTCATTAATCTAATAATATTTGAATCATTGATATCTACATTGTTTTTTCAACATGTGTAGACTATTTTAGCAAGGTAATGCTACAGACCAAACAATCTCAAAATTATGGTTGTATTTACTTAGTTACTCGAAAACAATGTGATACAAATATTTTAGTTGTTTTAAAAATACTAATAAAAATATTTGAAACTCGACCTTGTGTCAAGCACTGTTTATTACTAATAAAAACAAGAGTACCGCGAGGCGGAACAAAATACGCCCGGCAAATGCCATATAGTGTTATATACTTTCTTACATTAATAAGAGCTGCATTATTCTAAGAGTGGTTAGCTGACATGCTATAAAAAATGTAGGAGAAAATCTCAAGACAAAAAATCAAATACTGAAATGAACAAAAGGGCAAGAACTTTTGCAAATATTGTTGAATCAACATTCTTTTCAAGGAAACAACAACATATCATGATTATTTAGCCTACTAAGTTTCAAAGAAATCCGTCAAAAAATGTAGGAGATCTCTGGACAAAAAATTAAATACTGAAATGAACAAAGGGCAAAAACTTTTGGAAAAATTGTTGAATCAAAATTCTTTTAAGGGAGACACAACTTCATATCATGATTATAATGTATACCAAGTTTTAAAGAGATTGGTCAAAGAAAAGAAGATTGCCGGACAAACAAAAGTTTATGCTGGACAGACGGACAACCCCATACCATAATACTTCCGTCAAATTTGACGGGCGTATAATTAGAGATCTAATGTTTAGAATGAGATCAAAATGGAGATAAGATTTTGCTGTTGATGATTGTAAACTTTGCGTAGAAATTGTACGGTTGCTTCAGACCAATTTTGGACAATGAAGGATTTTAAAGAATTACTAATAACTACATTTTGCCAATTGAGCCCCACACCTCTGGCCCAAGATTTTTTTAGATCCATGTTTATTCAAAAAGGAAATCTCCTTTACCCAAGGATGATTTAGACCATTTGGACAAAATCCTGTCATTCCTTCAATTTGAAGATGTATAAACTCTACACAAGTTGGAAATTCACCAAATTATGATAAACAAAAGGCCCATAGGGCCTGTTTCGTTCACATGGACCCGGCAGTGGCTCATTATTTCATTCAGAAATGAATCCCCTTCACCACATATGATTCTGCTTAAATTTGCTCAAAATACCTCAATCCTGACAGAACATGAAGGATTTCAAAGCAGTCAACTCTTTTTCACCTATCATGCTCCGCCACTTTGCTTAGACTGAGTGTTTAAACAAAATGGATTTCCCTTCACACGAGGAGGTCAAACAAACAAAATTTGGATAATATCTTGCCATTCCTTAAGAATAATAAGGATTTTAAAGAATTTACTACATGTTTATTTCCCCTTTTGGGCCCTACCCCTCTAGCCCTTTGGAGATCAGACCCCGATTTATAAACAAGAGGCTCAGAGGGCCTGTATCGCTCACCTGGCTCTTTATACCCACCAATGGTATATAATTCATACAGCTATAGTTTGGGGAGCCCAAACATTTCAAAGTTATTGCTCGGGAAATAAATCCTAATCCCAGTATTGGGACCAGACCTCTGGGTCAATTCTTATATCACGATTGTGTTTGTCTTTTATTGCCGCGTAAGTGTTTATATGGTTAAGAGGTGGGGATCTCAACTACCGGCATTTCAAAGATATATAACCCAGGAATTAAGTCCCTAGGAATGGGGCAACAGCCAGGGTCAATTCTTAGATGACGATTGTATGGTATATATTTCATGGGGTTGGGATCTTCAAAGTGATGGCTCAGGAATAATTCCCTTGGGTTTTGGCAAGACCCCCTAGGTAAATTTTTCACATCATGGTTGTGGGTTTTTTATGCCCAGCAATGGTATACATGGTTTTTTGGTGGGGATTTAAATGTTTTATGTTCTATACTCATTGCCACTATGGAGTTCCGCCCCTGTGGCCCCAGGGAGTCAGACCCACTGTTTATACAAAATTGATTCGTCTTTACCCGAGAGTTCTGCAGACCCAAATTTGGACCATATCCTGTCATTCCTTCAGAAGGATTTTTAAAAAAATGACTATTTTCCTGAAGGTGCCCCGTCCCACTAGCCCCTGTGGGGACAGACCCACTGTGTATAAAACAAGAGGCCCAGGGGACTTAATAGCTCACCTGGTATTTCATTTTTCAATTTATAACCTGCTGAGTACCATACAGGTTTATCAAAGGAGTACAAGAAACAAAATTGCAAGAAGAACTACATATAAATTTGTTTTGGTGGGAAAGACCCCAAGAATATGAGTTTCCATGCTATGTCCCAATTTTCCTCTATTTCCCATATTGGGCCTCAAATGTACCTTTTTACACAAATTAAACAAATTGAGGTTTTTTCCCCAAAGCATGCTTCAGACCACATTTGGTTTAAATCCCTTCATTTGTACAGAAGGGAAAATGTTATTCGCTATTTCCTCTCTTGGGCCCCCACTCCTTTGCCCCTTGGGGGGGGGGGGGGGAGCACATTTTTCATTTATAAATATTAAATTCCCTTTGCCCGAAGATTCTCTAGAACAAGTTTTGGTAAAAATCCCTTCAATGGTACAGAAGGAGAAGGATCTTTAATGTTTTCCTCCATCTCCCCTAGTGACCTTGACCTATGACCTTGGCACCTGAAAAGCTGCTCCAAGCAAGCACTTTTTTCAAGAAAAAACTGGATAAAGTCCGAGTGCTGTCAGACTAACAAAACTAAACATATCATGGATAAACTGATTTGCTATTTGACCTTTGACCTTATTGCCTGAAAAGATATTCAAAGCTGGCACTTCCGTTGAGGAAACACTGCACATGGTCTGTGTGTAATTAGCCCAACAGAACTTGAAATATTGTGCCTAAACTGATTTTCTATTTATAGTAGCGCAGATGGCTTCTTGATGATTACGGGGGATATATAGCCACAGGACGGGGCACTTTAGTCAGTCTTCTAGTTACTATGTTAAGTTATGACAGAGGTCAATATATAGGCTGTGATGGGTCACAAGTCTAATTATTCATCATTTGCAATCAATATTTGATGATTCTAATATTGAATTGATTTATCATATTTCCTTTTTTCCAAAAATATCAATTTGCGAGTCACAAAAGATTCAAGTCGATCTCATCAAATGTATTAGCTTATGCACAGTTTAACAAAAAGGAAACAATACAAATAAATAAACCAAAATTCAACCGCTCATAAAAATATTCTCAGATATTATTCCCCTTCCCCTTCATAACGTTAGACATATTACCAAAAAATCAATTTCAGATCATATTTGAAGTTTTATGTTCAAGAGAGAAAAGCAGCAACATTTGACCTTCACTTTTGACCCAGTGACCTTGACCTTTGGTCAGATTACTAATTCTTTAATTCCAAAAACTTTGCTTCAAAAAGTCATAACAAAATGTACATTTGTGAAAAGATGTCAAATTTGACACTGACCTTTAAAATTTTAACCCAGTGACTTTGACCTTTGGTCAGTTGACTTCATGTTTAATTCTGACCAATTTTGCTTTGTTATGTAAACAAAATGTTCATTAATGAAAAGCTAGAAAATTTGACCTCGACCTTCAAACCAGTGACCAGGGACCTTGACCTTTGGTCAGTTTAATTCTTGTTTAATTCTGACCAGCTAGTTGTTGTGTATCTGTAATGTTTGCCTCAATTGTTATAATAAAATGCTATAGGGAAAATTAGTGTTGTGTTATGGATTTAAAACTTCAGCTATTTAGCTAACCATCACCAAAGCACGCTTCATGTGTTGATTTACTTTTAGTCCATAGTTGTGCATGTGTAGCCTCTAGGCAGCCTTCTTGGATTTTAAGATTATAAACTTTGTTATCGTTATTTCTCAGGAAATGCTTGACATATTGTCTCAAATTTCATATGTATTCCCCACGACTCATTGTTGTGGATGTCTCATTTTGAGATTGATGACAAGAACAAGAATGACCACCAGGCAGCCATATTGGATTTTAGCAGTTAAAATTTCTCTATATATACGTGATGGAACTTTCTCAAATTTAATATTACCTTCCCATCGGTCCTTAGTTTTGCAGGATCAATCTTGAGACATATCAGAAAGAAATCATTGCCACCATCTTGAAATTTGACAATTGAAGTTTGTTATTATATCCTGTTCCCCAGTTTTGCAAGTATGTGTATTTCATTTTGAGCTTCAAGCTGCTTGATCAGAAGAAAAGTATCACTTCCAATTTCTTTGTCTATATTTTATGCATTAATTATTAA